CACCGTTTCAGGTTCCCGCCGCGCCCGTCCTGCCAGTTGCACGCAGCGCCCGGGCTCCAGACGCCCCCGCTCACTCACCATTTCCCGGCGGTCGGGAGCGCAACGCTCTCCTGTGGGTTCCCAGCGCCTCCGTAGTACAGTGACCCGGACAGCAGGAGCGAACATAAAGACAGATCGGGACAGCAGCCGCCCCGGATGGCAGAAACCCGCCCCCTCCTTACGGGCTCTGCGCTGGATTGGACAGATCTCAATGTCACGCCTCTGATTGGACAGAACTTCAGTGCCCGCCCCCTGAAACGGAACCCTTTGAGCCAACGCTCTGAGTGACGGTAGAGTGCATCCAACCAAGGATGAATAAGAACAGAATGGCAAGTTCTTGGCGACGTTTTCTATACTCCCCCTAGTAGGATTTTAGCCCAGGGACACTTATCACTGAGCAACTAACACCCAGAGTCCTTTCACTTTTTTTTTTTTTAATTATGAGATAAGGGCTAAGTTGCCTAGGCTGGCCTCTAACTTGGAATTCGGGGTATTTCAGTTATGCCCTACCATTCCTATTTTCTTTTTATTTGAAGTTCTGTACTTTGAATCCAGAACTTCAAACAGCAGCTGTTTTAAGGTTCTGCTGAATAGCAATATCTAGACTATCCAGAAAGATATTTGCATTGAACCATGTCTCATATTAACTTTGATCATATCACTTTATTAATCATTTGTGTATCTATTTTATGAATTTAAATTATATAATAACCATTACTTTAAATTTTATTTAATTTTTCTGCTCTCTAGTCTTATCAGGAAGTATCTTGAGCTTTGAATTGGTAAACAATACCCTAAGGCAGCAAGCAATGTCCAACACAAATTGTGAGTCACAAGTGTAATTGTGACTTTCTATCAATCACACTAAAAAATTAAAAACAGCCAGGTGCAGTGGCTCATGGCTGCAACCACAGTGGCTTAGGCGATGGAAGCAGGAGGGTCAAAGGTTCAAAGTCAGCCTCAGCAACTAAGTGAGGCCTTATGCAGAATATTATCATATGTGAACAATATAAAATTATTAATGAAGTGTATATATTTGGGAGCTATAATTTCAAAGCTCATTCTTCTTCAAGACTCCCAACACACTTATTTTTTTTT